GTCGCAGCGGATCTCCCTGCAGGACGGGGCCGCGGGTGGGGACAGTCGTGGAAAAGACAGCAGGTCCCCACCCGGGGCCGCGGCCTGAAGATCCGGGGAGGTGGAGGTGGCCACACTGGCGGGAGCGTGACCAGCCCCGCAGCATGGCGTGGCCATGGCAACCGCGGCGGCCACGTTGGGGGCGTGGCCACGTTGGGGGCGTGGCCACGTTGGGGGCGTGGCCACGTTGGCGGCAGCCACATGGGGGCAGCCACATTGGGGGCGTGGCCATGTTGGCGGCGGCCATGTTGGGGTGTGGCCATGTTGGCAGCGGCCACGTTGGGGGCGTGGCCATGTTGGCAGCGGCCACGTTGGGGGCGTGGCCGTGTTGGCGGCGGCCACGTTGGGGGCGTGGCCGTGTTGGCGGCGGCCACGTTGGGGGCGTGGCCGTGTTGGCAGTAGCCGCACATCTGCTAGCACAGTGACGGAAGGAGCCCGGTCCTTCCATCCTCTAGACAGATACAGGACCTGCTAGCCGGGGCCTTCTCATTCCAGCCATCTTCTACTGGGTAAAGGGACGTATGTCCACTTCTGGAAAGCCCTGGCTACCAAGGGCGGCCGGGAAAACAAGTGAGGACAGAACCCGCATCTGGCCTGGGCAGCCAGGCTGTCATCAGGGGGAGGAAGAAAGGGCTTGGCGGACCAACCCCTGACCCTGCCCTGGCCTCCAAGGCTGCACCACAGTGCGGCAGAGCGTGGACACCTGAAACAGTGGCCACAGTGCCATCCCCCGATGCTGCCAGCACCTGGGTCCATAAAGGCATGTGGGAGGGAGGCCGTCACTAGGGAGATGCCTGCCTTGCGGCACTGGGGTTACGCCAAGGGCGTTTGAGGGACCCGTTCTCTCACCCAGTCCCTGCCAGGGCTGCTCAGTCACTCATCCACTCATCAGAGAGCCGTTATGGAGCACAAAATCTATGCTTCCACGGGCAAATACCTCCCTATTGTGTAAGTGGCAGACCTGAAACCTTCAATAGAAAAGATGTGAATATTTTTATTTTTTATTGCCTAAAAAAGCTAGAGACACAAGCATAAATTTTCATGGTGAAATCTCAGATTACTTTAATTCTTAGAATTTGTTTAAGATTAAGGTTGGCATTAAAGTTAGGGTTTAGGATTAGGTTTAGGGTGGTTAGACGTTAGGGTTGGGTTCAGGTTGGGATTGGGGTTAGGATGGATCATCTGGAAATGATCCTCTTCACTTATGGAAATGCAGCTGTTTCCATCCAAGCCAGAAAGGGAGCCACACTTCCCTTTCTGTCCATATAAGCAGGCTATTGGGCTCACTTTTTGAACCACCAGGTGTTGAAACATTAGGCACCCTACAAAAGGCTTCTGTATCTACCGGTCTTTTTTTTGGGGGGGGTGTCCGGTCGTGGGGCCTGAACTCTGGGCCTGGGCACTGTTCTTCAGCTCTTCAGCTCAAGGCTAGCGCTCTACCACTTGAGCCACAGCGCCACTTCCGGCTCTTTTTCTTTTTGCTTATGTGGTGCTGAGGAATCGAACCCAGGGTCTCAGGTATGCAAGGCAAGCGCTCTACACTGAGCCACCTTCCCAGCCCCCCCTTTTTTTTCTACTTTTAATCATTCATGGAAGGGGCTGTGCCAGTAATGTGAAAAGATGACAGAAGCAGCTGCAGAGCTGCAGCAACAGTAGAGGTGACAGCAGCTTCAGCTGCCCCAACAACAGTGATGGCAGCAAGAAAAATTCTAGAAGTCTCCAGCTGAAGAGTTACAGAGAGCCTATGGAGGCAAGGGCTGTGACGGTGGTAAAAAGAAGATGTGGGCCTTCCTCACAGAGTTGCCAAGGCTTAAGGACTAAGCCTGAAACACTCGAGACCTAAGATCTGGAAGCTTGCCTGTGGGCCTAGCACCAAGGCTTGCACCAGAGCTGTAACAACACAAGATCCGTCTTACGGCTTGCTGCATCCGCTGGAAATTGGGGAGAACAGCCGCTGCCAAGTGCTCTTACGGCTTGCTGCATCCGCTGGAAATTGGGGAGAACAGCCGCTGCCAAGTGCTGGGCCGCTAGTGGTTAACATCCAGGGCCGGGAGCGTCAAGCTGAGGTCTTAGAGCCGCGGTCTGGCTTCGGGGTCTGCCAGCAGCCCCCACGGGTGTCACCGGGGGAACTTCTCCTGTCTTCGACATGGCGGAGCTCAAGGGCTGACTGCGGCGCTAACCTTTCTGCAGCGTGGACCCGAGGCTGCTGAGACCATGACTCTGTCCAGTACTCCAGGTCTTCTTCTCTTTTCCGGACTCTACACCCCTGACCTAACCGTAACAAGCCTAGGGCTGTGAAACTGCAAACCGCACGGATGCACGCACCGCGGCCCAGCCGAGGCCTCGCAGCATCGCCGACCTCGGCGCCCTGCGCGGCCTCGCGCCTGCGCAGCAGCTCCTCACCC